AGTGGAGAGAAAACAGTTAAGATGTCCAAATAGAAATGATGTGATTTTTGAAGTGACCATAGCATTTAATATGAACACTGATTCTGCAATGGGGCCTGCACACAGAAGAACTTATTGCAAGATCCAGGACCTATAAAAGACTAAGTAATGATAATTATTTTGAGTTTATTTGTTTATTATAAAAATGCATTGTTTTATAGTTTATGGATGCACTGTTATAGACTTGTTGCTGACCAGATTTTGTCTTAATACCACTTGACTCATTCATTATATCCCCTTCAGTAAAATAATCCATAAATTAAAGCTCATAAAATTTCATACTAATATTAGTACTTAAATATTTAAATTTAAAATATTAGTATTTATGGCATTTTTTCATCTAAGCTAACTCAAAACCTTCTAATGGTGTTGTTTTAAAGGGAAGTTCAGTTTTTATTCTTATGAGAGGATCAATAAAAGACAGAGATGAAAATAAAGAATTTTAAGGTTTAACAAACAGATGAAATTATTTTTGTTTGATTGAAGTATCTTATGTATGCATTTTCGAGTATATGATCATTGGTTTAACTACAATAGAGAATTATGTTTGTTTTCTTCTATTAATGTTTCAGTGTAGTAATAAAGTTCCCCATACAAGTTAAGTTGGTTCTAACTGCTATCCATTTAATACAAATAACATGATAGCGCTACACTTCAGTTTGCTGCTACTTCTAATAAATACTTTTCAAATGAGTAAATATCCTTGATGTAAAAAGGTACGCTGAATTAAATTCAACTGTCTAAAGTGTCTGTGATTAATTATCTGGGCATTGGGGCATTTATTGCAATAGAAAGAATTATTTTAGTTTCATTGTATAAAGGGAAAACCTGCCTTTGAAAGTTGCTTGTTCCCTAGTTCAAGGTCACTTTATCAGCACTAGAGAACCTGCTGGATATGTTAAAGCAAAAAGTTTGCAATAAATAAATGATAAAGAAAAAAGTAATATTAACGAAAATTTACCATAACGAATGTATAATAATATTAGTATTTAAACCATATTTCTTTCTCATTTTGTATATTTGCCAAGAATAAAATACTTTATTATAGAATTGGCAAAAATAAATCTTCTTTCTTCTTTCAGTTCAATTTCTTTCAGGTCTGTTCTACCTGGGGAATATTTGAAGTAATTAATGTTGCAAAGCTTATGGTGAGAGAGCAGCTCAAGGCTGTTAGAAAATAGATGAGCTCTTCGTCCAGACAGGATACGTGTCAAATCACTTACATTCTGGGTGGAGAATAAGATGGGAGATGAGTAATGCATGATTTCCTCTTTCATTTCTCTTTCTGCCTTGTGATTCAGCAACTTGTAATTGTGAGAGAGCAAGCATGGTTTAGGGTATGACACTGGTCCCACAGATAAGGAGGAAAGATTCAGATGTCACCTATGGCAACTTTAGACTTTGGTTATTTATGCAAGATATTCACCACTGGCAGAGGTCTCCATATTTCAGTGTAGTAGAATACTCATCTGAACTTTTTTTTTCATATTTTTTTATAGGAGCATAGTCTAAGTTTAGAATGATTCCCAAACTTTTTCTTCTATTTTCTTTTTTTTTTCCCCAGCATAAGACATGCCATCAGAAGAGTATGAAAAGGTATGGCTATAACTTGATTTTCACACAGATTGTGAAGAGAAATAAACAAATCAGTTAATGCAATCAAAGAAAAATTAATGAAAAACATTAAAGAATAGGCAAACCCATTGCCCCTGCTCCCAACTTTAAGTTTACTCACTACTGTCATTTTTGTCATATTCAAATTGCATGCATTAGCAGAAACAATCCCACTTACTTAAATTGTTATGCTTGCTCTTTTTCAGGCTTTCTTTACAAATCTTTTTAAATAAAAAGTGAGTTATCTTTACAAGTTTCCTTGTAGTTAAGCAAAACAGGTGACTTACTTTAATATTTACCTAAAAGTGGAATAATATAAAACGTTTATCTTGAAAACTCAAAATAGAAGTTTACTTTTCTCCTTTGAAAATAGTAAAATTGTTTTTTCTTTTTTCCTTTTTTTTTCCCTAACTTTTTAAACTGCTTTCCAGAATGCATTTTGCATCTTGAATTCCATCAGTTGCCATCTGGCAAAGACACTGGAAATTTTGAAGACTGTTCTTCATATTTGCGGTAAGATGAATTCTCAAACTAATGTTTCTCGCTATACTGACTCTGCACATTATTACGAGCCAGGAGGAAAAAGGTGACAGTACCACCTGGCATGCCTCCCAGCATCCTGGCAAAGGGTGCCTCTGCTTGCCAAAACCTTTTTGAACAGGATGAGCTTGCTAAATCTACACACAGGAAAGGACCTATCTCTTTGCCAGCATGAAAGGTCAAAGGAAGTCCTCATCTCTACTTACCTAACAGGGGCCTCTTCCTCCCTGGCCCTTTGTTTATGTGTCTAGCTCAAGATGTTTCTCATTTTTGGTTTGCTTTAAAAACATTTTCTTGCACTTGAAATTCATTTAATTTGAGAAGTTTGAGCTTCAAATTTTTTTAAAGTTATATAAAGAAGTCTTCTGGGAATCTTTCAGGGCCCTCATTTAGTGTTTGCATTTCCTGGCAGACAGTGCCTGCTAGTATTGCTGCTTTGCCAAGACTGTCTCCCATTTCCTCCTTTTCCTAATGCTTTGGTAAACATGGATAAACAGTAGACTCTGAGGGCACAAAAGTCTTGCCAATAGCACAGCATGTCTTCATCAGAACTGTTGCATTTTTGAGTAGCAAATGCCAATATTTCCCTATCTAGTGAAGCAATGACAACAGGAACTGAAAAACAGAGTTCTGCCCACATGTTAAATAGTTCACTCAGCTTTTCTCAAGTATTTAATTGAGCTGATAACTGTGTATAAATTTGAGGAATCTTTTGATATTAGAAAAACTGTTTTCTCTTCATGGATGAATAATTTAACTCAATAATCACTATTAATAAAAATTAATTTTAATTGAGAATGGTGTACTTATCTGCTTGAGTTAAGCTGAAACCTGAAGGCTTTTTTTCTCTTTTCATGTTGCTCCATGTTCTTTTTTCTGTTTCTTATTCTCGTGAGCTTTTTCTTGTTCTTCAATGTTTTTAACTCTCTCTCCTTTCCTGAGGATTTCAATTAATGTCTTTTTTAAAGGCATTTCTGCAGTGTGTCACAGTAGATACTTTTACACACCACATTATTCCAGAAGTATTCCACACCACAGTTATGTATGTTCCACATGTCAAGAAATCCAAGGATTAAATCATAGGGTTGGAAGGAACCTTTAAGATCTAGTTCCAACACAGATGTTGTAGACAGGAACACCTCTCACTAGACGAGGCTGCTCAAAGTCCCATCCAGCCTGCCCTTGAATTCTTCCAGGGAGCGGTTTCTGTCCCCCTATCACTGACACAGATAGATCTAGAGATAATTCTGTGACAAGGAGGCATTCACAGCTTCACTGAGCAAACTGTTCCAGTGTCTTACCACCTTCACAGTAAAGTAGATACAAGGTCAGAATCATTAAAAATATCTCTATCATTTGGATCCATTTTACATAAGCACAGATATTCTTGAATTCATCTTAAACAAGGTGCTTTGGTGGTCCATTTACTACCCTTTGATGCCTCTGGACTCATGTGGATGATCTTAAAACTTCCATAAAACCACTGATTATACTTAGGATATTACTCTAATTGAAGTAACTACCAGTTAGGCAGTGAATAGGTAGTTGAGCTGAAATATAGCATATGCAAATTTTTCTGACCAAATAACCTGTAGGTATTCATTTCAGCTGGCATGATTTACTGCAGGCCTCTGACTGCCATATATACATTTGTTTTGCTCTTCCATTCCTTCCTAGAAAGCAGTAGATAGAAAGCATCGAAACACGTCTTTGTTTCAAAAAGATTGCTTGAATTGATTTTCAATCCAGATCTAGAGCTTGCAAATAGCTATCTTTCATTAACTGATTCATCAAAAATTATTAATGAATGAGATCCATCTGTATACCTAAGTCTAATGTCTATTTAACATATTGTCCTACATTTGTCGAATTTTAATTCAAATGCATCAACCTAACATGTTTGTTGAGTCAGGAGCTAATAAATCATTACTTTGACCTTTGTAATGTAATAAATGAAGACCTTAATTAGTTTAGTAAAATTAATCTGCTTTGTAGAAAAGACAGTGGTTTTGACTATCTGTAAGTTACTTCATGTAGCTGCTTACTAAGTATAGAAATATTCCATGCGAGTAATATAACTAAAATAATTTTTAATTGAAAAATAAATAAAACTCAGAAATAGTAAGTGTTGGAAGAGACTTGTAAGGGCTATGTAGTCCAACTCCCCTGGAGTGCTTAGCTGCAAGGGGTTCCACAGGCTGTCTTAAGAGGAACGGCATGATTTGAAGAGCACTGGTTCTTCTTGAGCAATTAATACAACCTCCTCTCTCTAACAAGGTGTTTCATACGTATTTAGAATTTTTATGACCTTGCAACTATTAACATACTGTTTGGTTCTTTTTTTGTTTGTTTTTGTTTTGTTTTTGTTTTTGTTTTTTTTAAATTGCATTAAAAATACCACTGACAACCAGTTTAAAAATCTCTGTACAACTATCCAGCTATATACTCTGGATAAAAAGCCCTTTGACAAAATGCAAGGTCATGTTTCCAATGAATCTGATAAACTTTTTCAGTGGAGCAACAAGATGGATTTTTTATTATTATTTTATTTTATTTTACTTTATTTTATTATTGTTTTTATGTGGTTTTTTTTTTTAGCAAAACTATATGATCAGAAAAACAGAAACAACTTTATCTTTAAAAATATAAAATAAAAATTTTCAAATCAGCATAGCCACCCACCAGGCTTTCATTATACAAAACAATTTCTATATTTCATAAGTCTATGTTCCTATTTTTCTCATGAGGCAAGGCTATAAAACTGAAATACTCTCTACTTACAATCTTCAAATATTAAAATGTCTGGGAAAAAAAAAAAAAAAAAAAAAAAAAAAAAAAAAAAAAAAAAAAAAAAAAAAAAAAAAAAAAAAAAAGTGATAGCACTGGGTATTTTGTTGTAAGAAGTACAAGGTTTCCTGCTGTGATACAAAGTAGGTTTTTGGTTATGTTGTTTCCATCTGTCATTTTTAACTTCAGAATATGTTTTTTCTTTAGTATTTTAAGTGTGCCAAAGCCAATTACCAAAAATACTTTGGGAAAATGTGAGTTTATGCATTTTTAATGGGAAAGATTGCTAATTTTTTTCTTAGCTTTTTCAGTTATTTTGTCTTTTGGCAAATTTTACTGAGTTTTACTGTCAAGTTTTTGATAAAAACACTCACTTGGAAATGCTTAAATTTTCTTTAACAAAGCTTAAAGTTTTTCATTAGCTGAATTGTAGGAAATGACTCATATTTTTATTCATTGCCGAATGTATATATAAAATATTAGCTGACTGGCATAGCTTTTTCAGCTATCATGTTTCAAATGAGAAGTACTATTTTGTTAATCTGAAAATGAGGTGACATGACTGGGTAACTGTATTTGATTTAAACAGATCAGCATTTCACATACATCATTTGCTCATATTGTATCTAGAAATACTTGGCATATGATGTTGCTAAAGTCACACTTAGGTTGCCAGGTTTTGCCTCTTTTAGTGTTTGACTTTTTTCCTGGTCAAATGAAAGTAGCCTCTGTAATTGGTTTAGTCCTTTAAATCACATTGACCACATTTTTCCTGGTAAGTTGTGACAGAGTAAAAGAATACATTTCAGTTTTGTTATTGTATTTTATTCTCTTGAAGCCCTAGAGCAAAGTATGAGAACAGTATCTAATCCTAACTTAATAAATAATTATTAATAAAATGCACACAAGGAGATATAGAAAGCCAAAACAGGTAGGAGACCATAGTGAGTCATTCTCTTATGCTGAGGTCAGATTATTGCATGCTCTAGTATGCAGTTTATTTTGCTCGTAAGTGGCAACATCAGCTCTAAAATGTTGTAAAGAAAGTGTTAATTTAACTTCATCAATTTGTAAGTGTGTTCTTTTTCGCTACTTCTGGGCAACTTCTGATGCTGATGTTGAGATATATACTTTCATATATGAATACATGTACATATAATGAATATTTTTTCCATATAGGCATGTCATGTATAACTTAGCCTCTATAGTGAAGTTGTTTTATTCCAATTCTTCTAATTTTCATTTTCTAAATTAGTTCACTGGCTTCTTAACAGTTCTGCAGAGAGTCTTTAGACAGTGATTATGATATTTTATTTAATTATTTTAATGATAATTACAGAAATCAGTTAAACTTTTGTAAATTGTTCTAAACACCTTACTAACATAAGAACTTATACATCACATGGGGTCTGCTGAGTGGTTGATCTTTCTTCCAATGTATGTTAACAGGGGGACAGCTGACCTGTTGGTACAGTGATGCAATTTAAGTTATAGTCTTCTATGGTTATTGCTGCATCTAGAATGAAACATAAAATAATGAATATACTTTCACTTACGGTTTTTTTTATATGGTTGGGGTTTTTTTGTTTGTTTTTATAAAAAGAAAATTGACTTCTACTAAACTACACAGTTCTGGCTGATTTAAGGAACTATTGTCAGACCTCGTAGATGACTAAGAAACAGTGGAAGTCCTTCTAGTACTCAACTGTAGTTCTCCAGCTGCTGATGCTCTTCATCACTTCTGTGATCTCAGTTTATGAGGGTTATCCATCAGTTGCTTTTGATGGGCATATAGTTCATTTGCCAAATTAATATCAGTTTGAAGAGTACCTTTTCAAAATAAATAACGTGTTTTGCCTTCCATATCACTATAAATCAGGCTTAATAGAAGAAAAGTTAATATAGTTATAACATAATAGGATTGGGCTCAATGAAAGGTGATTCTTATTATCATTTGTCTGCTGGATTATAAGGTATAAATCCTTCATATTTGAATTTGAGTAATTTGATAAGTAGTACAAAATCAACCTTAATTTATATAGCTCAACTCTAACTGAAGGACGGTAAAGTCATTCATAAAATACTTGTTTTAATCATAATTATTTTATTTGTGGTACATTTTTATGGTATTTTACATTAGGACAATGTCTGGTGCATTTCTTTTCTCTAAGATTGCTCATAAATATCATATTGCACTTTATGTCAAACATTTTAAATTACTTTTCTAAGAGAAGAGTTCTAGTCAGTTCTCTCTGAGATTGCATTCTATGCATTCAGAAACAGTGATTTAAAAAGACCTTCTAAATTCCTATATGTATGTTTTGTATTTCATGTAATTAGTTCCTAACATTTACTCAGAAACTTTCTGTACTCATCTGGATTTATTCAGTGATTATTCCTTCATTCTTTCCACTTATCAGGAGGAGATACTTCCTTTCACTGTTGGAGTACATTTGCTAGTAGAAAACTTCAGCCCCAGTAGGGTGACAGAGAACAACGTCTGAAGGAGTCACACCTCACGGATACCCCTGCAGGAGCAGCCCTGGCTGGAGCTGCAGCCCATGGAGAGGAGCAAAGGATGGGAAGGTTATCTGGCAGGAGCTGTGGCCTGTAGGAGTAGTCCATTTCAGAAGGATAGACCTCATTATATGGACCCATTCTGGAGCAGTTCTTGAAGATCTGCGTCCTTTGGGAAGAACTGGAGCAGTCTGTGAAGTACTGCCTCCAATGAAAGAGAACCTGTACTGGAGCTGAGAAAGAGTGTGAAGAGGAAGAAGCCATAGACATGAGATGTTATTGACTGGCCAACAATCCCTCAACCTTTTGTACCATTCAAATAGTAGGAGGAGGTAAAAGAACTGAGAATTAAGTCGTGTCAGGAAATAGGAAGAAAGCAAATTTTATTTACTTTTAGATCTCAGTGCTCATTTCTGCTAATAATTGGCAAGGAATTGCATGAACATTCTCCAGACTGAATCTGTTTTACCCATAACAGTAACTGGTAAGTGATCTCCCTGCCCTTGTCTCAGTAAACAAGATTTTTCATCATATTTTCTCATGCTGTCCTGTTGAGTAGGGAGTGGTTTGGTGAACACCTGGCAGCCAGCCAAGGACACTACATGGCTGACCTTTCTAAACTCAACTACTAAAGAATCACTGTGTGACTCTAAGCTTTATTCTTTTTGTGACAGAGGAAGTCAATATTTGTAAGACTATTTGGGCTTTACAGCTGTTTGGTTTTTTTTTATTGAAGAAGTCATTGTAAAGGGAGATAGAAAGTATCTTAGTAGGTTTTGTCGATCTGACATTCATTAAAAAGCTTAAAACTGGTTACTACAGTGGAAAATGTCTGTGGTACACAGTCTCGCACAGGAGAAATCTTAGCCTTTTTCTAACTAATTTATTTGGACAGTTTAATAGTAAATGTTGCTTTAATAACTGCAATGCATTAAGTAATGCTTTGGGGAGTCAAAAAACCACTGCAAATTATTTCACATGAGATATTATTGGGGCATCAATTAGAGTTAATCCAGCAAGCTGAAGGGCAATTGCGAAATGGTCTAATTGACACTCACCTTGCAATGTCACAGCATTTTTAGTTTTGACTAACTATCCATTTATTACTCAACAAAGTGCAGAACAGGTGTAATAATTCAAAATGTGATTGGTTGTCACGGAGAACAAAGAAAGAGGAAGAATAGGTAGTATACACATGCAAATGTGTTGTCCTCTGTGTATGCAGATACGGAGTTTATTACGGCTTGATGCCAGAAAGCTTACAGCTCTTGCATTAATGTGTTAATAAATATTTATGTTTTCATATATTTGACTATATCCCATGATAAATATAATTTATTCTGTTTGTGTTCATGATGAATTCTTTCTGATGAAAAGATCAAAATGTATAATGTTTAAAAAGCCATGCTTAAAAATTTAAGAACATTTTGTTTCCAAGTAGCTAGTTATGGAAACGTGTGGAAACTGCATTTTTCTCTCTCTTTTTTTAATTGGTTTTACAGCTGATAATCTTGCACCAGCTACTGATGTTCTTTGAACTATAGAGTAATGTGCAATTTCCTTTAATATTCTCATTAAAATTTGTAGACAATGAAGCTTTCTTGAAGAAAAGTCATATAAAACATGCTTCTAAAATTTTTATCCCAGTAATATCTTGCATTCAAAATTTTAATACCAGGAGTATTATGTATCAGCATATATACTTCTGATCGTTTAAATCCAAGAAGTCAGTGGAATGCTTCATGAGCCTGAAGTTAAGCATGTGAAGATTTAAAGTCTTTCAACGCATCAGAATGACTTTTTTGAGAACTGTCTAGTTTGCTTATGTTGGGGCCTTTGTTATGGCCCTTTTCATCACATTAGAGAACAGTATGAAGATATTTTTTATATTTTTTTTCTGCCACTGAGATCATCCAAAACACTGTTAATTGTGAATTTCATCTGTGAGGACTGTTTCAAAAGTATTGCCTCCTATTTTATGATGTTGGCCCATGACATGAGAGGCAGATTTTGGTGGTATGACAGTAGAAATTGAACTTTCCCAGCAGTATCCTCTTCATTTTGTTTCTTTGTGACAGATGTTAATATAGGAGCAGTCTGACACGATGTCTGATGTGGAAGCAAAAGGGCGTCACTGAATTCCCCCAGCTAAAGAGCATTCATCAGTACTGGCTGAACATTCATAGAGACCAAAAAATGTATGTGAGCACAGTCAGACAGTGCTCACTATGGGTGATGCATTTCAGCAGTAGTAACAGCACTGTGAAGGACAAGCCATGTTTCAGATGGCAGTGCACAACTGTCACACCTCAAAATGAAGAGCACCTCAATCACCTCATCCATACAAATCAGCAAATGGTGGTGACTATGTTGAAAATCAGTGTTTGGTAGCTGACAATTTACTCTCTCTCTCAAAAAAAGTGTTATTGTATTCTTATCTGTTGAACGTTAATAGGAGGCAACCTATGTAGTTATAGCAAGTTAGAACTTTGTTAAAGCAGGCTCTGAAAAAAATTGGTTCTGCAATGTGAACTTTATTCCGAAAAATAACTTTACTTTCTAATTCTTATGAAAGTAG